CGCTATGCTGGGAGACTTCAGAGGAAAAGGGAATGGATATAGGCTGGGAGACTTCAGAGGAAAAGGGAATGGATATAGGCACCATGGTCATCAGCACTTTTCACCAGGCTTCCTCTTTCTTCTGCTGGAGATGGTGGGGGAAGTTAATCAGGAAATCCCATGACTCAGTGGGACCACAGATGGGGAAGGTACTAGAAAAATAAAACAAAGAAGTCTGGAAGATGCCAGGAGAGGGGCCACAGCTTGGCACAGTTGCTGTGTGTACATGGCTGGGTCCCTGGATGGCACACAATGGTCAGGGCGTCCTGTAAGGCTTGCTGTCAGCACAGGCTGCTCCCAGGAGGAGCTACTGACTTGCATTCCCTGTGGGCCATGGAACCAGCTAGGAGTACAAGGTGACCTACTGGGATCCCCAACTTCTTCCAGTGTAAGAGGTCCCATAGAATGTGTCTAGGAAAGTTGTACAGGCAAGAGAAAAGAGAGAGGAGCACCACGATGAGTAAACATTTCCACAGCATGACTTGGGGGCAGACATGCTGAACTTTAGACCTCTTGTACAACAATGCCTGGCTGGGTGTAGCAAGGAGGTGCAAGATCCAAGAAGGACCTCTGCAATGCAGGGACTGTATGGGGATTACTGTTGCAGAACTGAGTAGAAATGTCTGCTCTTTAGCTTTTGGAGAAGGCAGCAGGATTGACCCCACTTGTAGGGCAAGCAATGTAGAGTACACTGAAATTTGCAAAAATTTCTGTCTAAGATGTCCCCAGGCCTGGTGAGACAAGAACCATCTACCAAACTGATGGAAAAAGAGGATCCATGCTGCTGTTAAATATGAGATTTCAATGTGTATCTCCAGTGGATACTGCAGTTTGAATACAGCACCTTGGGCTGCTTGGCTACCTGACAGCTCACTCACTGCCTGCTGCTGCAAACAGCAAAGATGCTGGACTAGATGCAGCTTCAGAACAGCCTTATCCTAATTCTTACAGTTGTGTGTATAGACTTGTGATAATCTCTTGCTCCCTTCTTGCCTAAACTCCCAGGTCAACACTATCTAAAGAGGTTTCTGATTTTGGATGCCTCCATTTGGATCTGTTCTTTGGATCACACTTCAATTTCTACTTGAGTATGCTTAATTCCTACCTTGACAAACAGGGCTGGCACATCTCAAATGGCTTACTCCAAAGTCCAGGCATTTCAGAGGACTGGCTGTTTGTGTATAATTAATTGGGTGTTATTTATTGATCTGGCAGCAGCAGACAGTCTGTAGTACAAAGCTCTGTGCTGCCCACCAGGTCACAGTTCCAGTGTTTTGGTTTCTCAGTATTGCTAGATCATTACTGTTTAAATAGCAAAGGCAGTCCCTGACCCAACATCTGCCATAAAGGGGCAGAGAAGAGAATTGTTCTTAAACTTTCCTCACTCCAGTTTGTGAGTAATCTACATACCTCTCATTAGCTGCAGCCTGGGAAGTCTCAGTTGTTTTTACTTGCTAGTGTGGGCAGCATCAAGATCAAGGCACGACAGGAAAATAAACGCTGTGGCTGCAGCTCTGCTGGGCTCCTAAAAATACATAACTGCTCTGCTTTTGTGGCTGTGGATTCTTCTATCACTGTTCCTTATCTGACATTGCAATGTTACACACAGTATATTATTTAAAAAACAGTTGTCTGCTAAAACATATAGCAAAAGGCTTCCAGTTTTGCTAGCTGAACTGAAGCAGACAATTTATATTGCTGCACAGGAGATTAACACTAATAAATAAACCAACCCCTTTTACCAGAGTCTTTATAAGAGACATGAAGCATGTGGATGGACCTTATTCACAGCAGGAGCTTAAATGAGGTGGAACAAATGTTATTTGATAATTATATCCCGAATACAGAAAAATCTGTGCCTTGAGAAAAATGCTAAATGCTGTTTTGACACCTTTGTCTTAACTTTTAAACCTTCATTGTGGAGAGCTCTGTATTCCTTGTAGAGACCTGTGCTTCCTAATGAAGCACCCAGGAGAAAACACATGAAATAAGCATTCTTACATATTTTGCAGCCACACACTGGAGTAGGAAATCAGGAAAACTCTGCTACACAAGTGTCTGAGGGATACCTACCTGGTTTGAGGAAACAGGATATGATTCCATGAACAGCATTTCCAAGGCACTGAAAAAAATATACAGTCTTGACTTTTTAACCTTATCCTATGAATCTATCCCACATCCTTGTGCTTTTAGCCTCATTTCCCACAGAGAATGAAATTTCTGTGATCATGCCATCTGGCTGTCTATCAGCCAGTATGTTCTGAACCTGCTTTCTATCAAACTGACAGAGGGATTGAGCCTCAAAGAGAATTAAGTGCCTATGAAATTCACGAAAATCAGCAGCTGGGTCGAAGGTGAGGCTCCAAAGGAGTGCCCTCGCTAAGGGCAGGGTGGGCAGAACGCAGCAGTTTTACACACTGCTTGCTCATGTCAGTCATCAGCTGTGCAGTTCTGGACTCAGCAGAGCAGATGCTGCTCCTGCCTCAGTGAGATCAGGGGCTCATTGCTGCTGCAGTGAGTGGTGTGGGAAGGGAAGGAGAGCAAAAGGCAACAGGACACACTGCACAATGGCAGGTCTCAATAGGGCCACAGAACAACGCATTCAATGATAAACTTCCACTTATTCATGTAACTGCACAGCTCCTGCAGTTGCTGAGGGCCCCCAAGGATGTGGATCTGTTTCTCATGGAAAAGGCTGACAGGCAATCCCTACCTCTCCACTCCCACACCCGGACCTGTGCCACAGAGCTCCCACTGCTTCCAGTGCTCAGTGAAACTCAAAGCATGTTCCAGGGCTCTGGAGACAATAGACTTGATCTTTGAAACCATAGAAAGGATATTAAAAGTTAGGTTGGAAAGTACAGCCCGGTTCAAAGTTTCTGTAAAGAAAAAATCCCTGCCAGGGAAAATTTAGAAACCAGATCATTTCTCCTTCCCTAGCAAAGGGAGTTTCAGCTTTTGTTTTTTGTATCTTGCTCTCCTGCTTCATGCAGTGTGCTGTGCAACAGCAGCTGAGCTTGCAAATACTTCTGGAGGAAAAGGGCTGTTTTGCTTGAAGTTATGCCTGTCCTGGAGGGAAAATCCATGTGTTTTTAAGAGTCCAGTATTTTAACGAACCGAGGAAGAATGTTGTTTAACATCACCTTGGCAAGTGTGTGCGTGGCACGTACATTTCCCAGTGCTGAAGCCTGGCCCTTCACGCTTACCTTCAGCACACTTTTGTGTGGGCAAACTTGTGACCCCAGCCTCAGGCTTCCCCCAGCCCCCCTGGCTGCTGCTGGCCAGGCCACCGGGGCAAGGACTGCTGCTCCTGACCCACAGCAGGGCCAGGAGCTTGCTGTGGTTTGCTCATGATGGTTTCCTCGTGATGAAAAGGGAGATAGAGAAAGGCTGTGCCTCTTGATGGGTTTATGAAGGGTAAACACGTAGCTCTGCAGGACTCACAGAAAGAGACCCTTGTGTGAAAGCTGAGTGCCCTTCTTGGAGATGGGTTCAATGTATGACTGACTTGTGGGGGCAGAAAAATCATCATTTTAGTGAAGAACAGATGTGAAATATATTAACTGAAGCCCTCTTCTCTCTAAGATTTCCTTCAGCAGCATCCCCCTCTCCTATCTTCTCAAGGACTCTATTATTTCACACAGGAAAAAGAGTGATTTGCTCTCACTCTCAAGAGATCCACTAGGTTTTATATTTCACTTGTACTTTCTAAGTAATTGATTGAGGTCCTGGTCCTTGAAACCAGAAAATATAAAGAGAAAAATAAAGCTTAGGGCCTGTTATATTTACCATTATGGCCAATGAAGATAGAAGCAAAAGTCTTTAAAAATAAGTGGGCTGTTCCAACAGTGAAGCCCCCAGTGAAATTGCTGTCTGACTTTCTTCACAGAACAGACTGGAGTTTCCAAAAGTGTTACCCACCCACAGCATTTACTCATCTGAGTAGGACTTTTGCATGTGAGGACTTGTCAAACTGACTTCTCCTCAAAAAGTTTTCTAGAGGTGATTTGGATTTAGGATGCCCAGACTGGAGTGGCTTCCAGAATCCTGGTTTTCAAAAGGGGCTGACCATACATTCTCCATCCATCAAATTTAACACCCCCCTCTCCTAAATAGCTTCTCTCGATCATGATCTCAGTAGCCTAAAGACAGCAGCCCACAATGGTTTTCCAAAAATAACATCAGCAACTTTCAGTTTCAGGATTTGTAAATGCTTCTGTAATGGTCCTTGGACTTCCTCAGAAATTCTCCAGGGGTAAACAGCTCACACAGATCACAGGGAAAAGATTTCCCCTCCCCCCTCCAGATATCTAGAGGGGATGTCCAAACAGTTCCTCTTCTGAGAGCTGCCTTGACTTTTTTCCACAATTAAATTTTCCAGCAAATAATTTGTAAAGTTATGTCACTCCAAATGCCCTTTTTTTTGGTCTTGAAAATGACAAAATATGCTAAGAAGAGATAATGTTCTACCTCATGTGTGCCTACCTGAAGAGTTAAATGTATAACTCTACTGAAATACAGTTTGTTTAGCTCAGCCATGCTGATAATTCCTGTTTAGCCCTTAGCCCCAAGTCAAAGTGTTTCCATGGTCCTGTGACCTGAGGTCTTAAATGTGGTTTCAGAAATGTCACATCATAAGGCCAACCTTTGCACAGCACTGTGCTGTTAGAACTGCAGAGAGGAGGCTGAGAGGGGATTCTTAGCAAGCCCTTTCCCCTGGCATTTTGTCACTCAAGGGAGATTTGTTGAGTGCTGGTTTTGATGGCTTTCACACCAACCCACAGTGCCCCTTGGTCACCCTTAACTCTGTTCAGATCAATACAGAGGGGGAGAAAAAAAGAAAAAAGGGAGATGAGTTGCTGCCACTGCAAGTGCGTGCAGAAATGGGAGTGACCTCACAGATTTAAAGGGGAGGAGCCTTGGTTCATACGTGTAGGGATTTTCCCTATGAGGAAAACCTCAAGAAAAGCCTGGGGGATTCCCCAGTCTGCCTTCAGAAATATCACTCTAGAAGCAGTCACAGCTTCACTCTGCTCTCACAGTCCATCCTGCAGAGAGGCACACTGTTGCTGCTCTGTGATCGAAGCAGTAGAAGCCATGTCTTTGGGAGTCCACGCTCTGCTCATCATCCTGTGCAATGGTAAGTGGACAGCCCTGCAATTTTCCTTCTGGTATTTCATGTCTGTTTTGTGGGCATATGTTTTGGGAAGGCAGGAAGGATTGTGTAAGCAATATTTTTTAAAGGTGATGTGTACCTGTGCTTTGCAGTTTGGTGCTTGATCCGTGGGACGTCTGTGATGATCCCAGATGTTGCTGTGAGGTGTGCTGAGGAAGTGGTGCTGCCCTGTAAAGCTCTTCAGGACTCCTCAATCTCCTACCAGACAGCGTCTTGGTATAAAGTAAGAAAAAAGTCTAAGTTACTTGAGCAGTCTGCTTTGCTTTCCTACCTGATATTGGCTTGTCTTGTATGGAATAGGTTGTTTTCTGCAGAGGAATCCTCCCATTAGTGCAGTAGAGAGAAGGCAGCACTGCAAACCTTTGAGCTGACCACGGGGAGCAGGCTGTTTGGAGATAAGCTATTTGAGCATGATTTCCTGAATTACTCTTGGCCTGCTTTTCTATCTAATTATTGCTGGCTTCTGTGGATCAAAATTCAGGCGATGCCCCATGTACAACCTGCCAAATGCTACTCTAAAGAGGAGTCTTGTGGGATTTTCTTCAAAGCAAAAAAATGGTATTTAAGCCTTGGAACATCAATGATGTTGCTCTTGTTTAATCCCCTGAAAACAGGAGATGATTTTTTTCTTTGAAATAAAAGAACTGAAAAAGTACTTGCTATTCTTTAGGAAGATTTGACTAGTGGGGTGGGCATAAGGGCAGAGTGTGAGCAGAAGGCAGATGGAGAGCTAGAAATTCTGAGTTATCTCTTTGCAGTCATGAAGTAAAAATCACATCTTGACTGCTCTGATTCAGTTTCTCTCTCCAGAGCAGGAGAGCCCTGCTGACCGCCTGTGTACAGGAGGGGTTACAGGAATCAATCAGCTGATGAGTAGAAAAGTCCCACTCAACATTACCAATATGAAATTTCTAAGAGAGGTGGAATTGCCCAGTGGTGGCTGTTGACTGTATGGCACCATAAATTTGCACCTCAGTGCAGAGCTTCAGCTTATGGTGTGAGCTAAATTAATGGGAAAAAAGGGAAGGTTTTGTTCTCCTCCATTCCCCACTCCCAGCCATACAGTCCTACTGCTTATCATGGGCCACTCCTGGTGGTCCTCCTGTTACCTGTTAAATCAACTCTCTGTTGATTGTTATAGTAGTGGAAAATCAAACTGCAAATAAAGATTTTGCGGTTTACAAAGTTGAATTACTTTCCCATGTGATGGGAGAGCAATGGAAAGGAAGAGGAAAAAAAACTTATTTATGGGTGTTGAAAACCGTTAATTTATCTCTGCCGGAACCTAAAGCCACAGCCTTGGCTCCCTCAGCAGTTCGGTCAGATACAGTTTTAAACTCATTTCCTACAGTAAACCAAAAAAGAGTGTTTGCTATTAGATACGGCTTCTGAGGTTGAAACTTGCAGTGCATCTGAATTTCATTGCTGGTACAACAATGAGCATCTGCCTACAGACCAGATGACAGCTGTACCTCAAAAGAGCTGTTGTGAACATCTGACTGCCAACCCACCATGTGCAGCATCTTTTTCCAAATGGTTGAACTAAGCACAGGTGCTAAACAGGGAGGAGAGAATAATGCTTTTGGTTGAACTTTACTATGATATTTGGAATATGAGTCAACTTATTCCTTTTTGTTTTATGCCTCAAAAACTGGACAAGAATCTATATTTTCCATCTAGATATGTGCTAATTATTGAAGGCTCCTTTTCTCCCACGGTGTCCAGGAAGGGCATGGAGCCCATGGAAGGCAAACAATGCTATCTGGTGGAGCTGGAGGAGTTGAAGAGAAGGGGTAGGGGGTGGGGAAGGAATAAACAGAGAGGCTGACAGGATCCCAGAAAAGTCTCCCCCAAAGTAGTGTTGGAAGTCAACAAAAACAAAAACAGGCTGCAGTGTGGAGATCCTCCAGAAGCATGTGCTTTCCCAAGTTCAGTGGAAGATGGGAGGCCCAGGTAGCAAACAGCAGCCAAAAGCTATTCCCTGATGAAGTATAAGGAAAGCCTACAAACCCAATTTTATGTTGCCTTCTAGCTCTTTGCAGTTCCACCTGGGCACAAAATGACTGCACATGCACAGGAGGGTGGTATTTGATTATGCCTTTTGTGGGGGCCCTCTCTGGTGCTGCTTCCCCTTGCAGCAGTCATGCTGTGACAGTGTAGAGTGCCACTGGATGTCCCCTGCCCTGTCCCTATAATACCCACTCCCTCCATGGTTTTCTTGCTCTTCCTGCTTCATCTGCTTTGCTCAGGAAAAGACTGGTTTTCCAGTGTCCATCATGACAGAACCTCACACTTATTTTCTCTGCTGACACAAAAAGTAACAAAAGTCTAGCTATTATCAGGTCTTGCCACAGTCCTCAGGGGCTGATGGCACCAACTGTAGTACTGCTGTCTTCTGTTTGCTTGTCCCGTGAGAGAGGTGGGAAGTGGGGACAGGCAGATGGTGACGCCAGCCCAAGCCACAGCTGCAGCCATATTAGGAAAAGCAGAGCACCAAATCTAAAAAGCCTGACCCTCCATGGAGAAAAGCAATCTAGGCTCAGTGTTTTGTGCTGAACAAGCAATACTTCTACTTATGGGGCTAGCTAAATAAGCAGTGGCTTGAAGATCTTTCTCCTCCCTTCTCTACACTTTGGCTCTGTGCTGCTGTCCCCACTCAACACTGCAAAGGAGGGTGAGGGAATGGTGGTGTGTGACCAGGCTTCCCAACACAGGTAATTACTCTGTTATTTAAAAACAACTACTGAAGGATTAATCAATAAACACCACATATAACCCCAAAGGACTAATTAAAAGGTAATTCCAACAAATTGTATGAAATTTCAGGCTGTAAATTTCAAGCAGCTGTTAGGTGAAATCTTTTGTATGAGGTCACTTTGAACTGTGAAGTAAATGCAAGCAATTAACCTTTGCTTCTGTTACTTAAAAAAAATGATGGTGGCAATGTTACAGTGCTGCTTGTGCAGCTGTTTGCACAGGGTTAATGTTTGGTGAGCAAACCACTCCTTCCCACTGGCACCTCTGTGTGCTCAGACCAAGTGAGGGCCAGTTTGTTACAATCTGCTAAAAAAAAAAAAAGGTTGTAATTTAAAAGTATTTGCTGTATAGAGAAGTTATTGCATAATGGAGTTAATATTCTGGTGTCAAAATCCAGCTGGGTGTAAAAAAGGTTTGCATTCAATTCCTTTGCTTTTGCTAATGGATGTGTTTGAGCTGCTGTGCATCCAGGATCATTGGAGCTAATTATCCTCATGCAGGAAGTCACCTGTGTAAATAGGTCTCTGTAGAATCAGGACCACAGTCAGTCAGCTCAGACAAAATGATTTTTACTTAAAAGTATAAGAAGTAGGTTGCCTGAACACACTGGGGAGAAGGTAGAGCACCAAGTCCTCTTCCAGCCTGGTGGAGTTCTCCTTCCATTCACTATGAGGCCATGGAAAAGAATTCATAATGATGATAGTCTTAAAGTGTGGTATGTTTTTAGGAGTGCTGATGTCCTGCATGCCATAAAACCATATATGAGCAGCATGGAAGTTTGCCAGCTGAGAACTGAAAACTAGGTCTTTTTTGCCTAAGCACTCAGGCACTGGGACTTGTCTATGGAAATGCTGGTTTGAATCTCTACAGCCCACCTGCAAGACAAGAATCTGGGTAATGAAATTTTACTTACCTTTCTGCTGTGTAGGGCTATTGAAAACTGAACAGTTTCTCTTTATGAAGTACATTGAAAATGAGAATCACTTCATAAACCTTTATAATTATCACTTTATATCCAGCTTGAAAATCAAGTTTAAACACACACAAAAGAAGTCCCAGTAGGTATTACACTATTTTCTTCATGTGATAGCCAGAAGAGTCTTAATCTAAAATAAATCTTGAGGAAGAGAAAAGAAGGCTGTGCTTCAGTGGAGAGAAATCTGTTAACATTACAGCACTTCCTTGAAAAATATAAAATTATGGCAGAATAAGAGGGGGAAGTCATATTACAAAGTAAGAATAAACATTTAATATTGACTGCACCTTCCTTCAAAGGAAACTACTTTTGCTAAAAGTGCATAACTGTGATATATTAGCATAGGTAAATATTTGCAAAATTACTTCAGCTGAATTTCTAAACTACACAAAGAAATGCAGTCCAATGCTCCTCAGATGTCTATTCATCCCCAAGTAGCTTCATCACATTAATGATTTAGACAGAAAGGGAGCAGTGGAAATGATTTCATGATCAAAACAATTTTTTTGTCTGACATGAGCTAAGACTGGATGCTCTTAGCTAAAAAAAAAAAAAAAAGAAACCAAACCAAGCCAAAGCAACTAAACAATAGTTTAGTTGTTCAATCTGTGTGAGTGAGTCAAAGGGCTTTTCCAGCTGGCTCATTTGTAACACATAGTTCCTTCACTGTTGTTTTGGGGTTGGGTTTTGGATTTTCTTTCCTCATCTGCCCCCCTGCTCCCCCACCTTCTCTTTTTACAACACACTCAGAGTCCACTCACATGTGCCCACAATTTATGTCTGTTATTTTCAAATTTAACTTTGGTATCTCAACATGACACTGTATAGGAACCATATGGATGCACCTTTAGCACTAATCAAATGTGGAAGCATTTTATTGCTGAAAAATACACTTATTAAGCAGTTTCAGCTCAGTTGTGTTTCGTTATATGTTGGCTATTGGGCATTGCCAGAATTCTATATATTTTGCTTCAGAAGATAAATTCCTTCTGGCCATATGTTGATTTTTAGCTCTCTGTAACAGTCAGAAATTTCAGCTTGGTCATTATGCCTGGTATGATTTTAAACAAAACCATTTTTACAATTCTCTCACCGTCACTAGAAAGTAATCTGATGTTAATATATTCCACATTTAAACTGACATCAGTTTTGGACCTCAAAAATTTTTGCTGAAATAAAAATTTTCGTTTATGAGAAAAGTGGTTTATATTGGAACTTTGATTTACCTGGAAGACAGTGTACCACTTCAGTGTGGGAAAAGTTTGATGAGAAAATTTATTTAATGAGAGCAGAGAACATGAGTTAATGTGAGAACTGCTCACTTGCACATGTTCATGATAAAATTAAATATTAATTTATTAGTTGGGTGCAAGCACTACAGCATGGGTGAATTGCCATTTTTAGGGTAATGCTGTAGTGGTTTTCAAAACAATAGCTAAAACCTAGCCAGCTAGAACTGAGCAAAATGTTCTTCCTCCTTCTTCCATCTTGTTTTTAGTTCTCTGAAAAAGAAATATTTGCTGAAGACCACTTTAATTATTGTACCTATTTCTCATAATTCATACAGTCAGAGAACAGAAATATATCATCTCAGTTGTATTTTCAATCAAACATATCCCATTTTAATATCCACTGTTCTTACCAAAAAGCTCCGGGCTAGGAGAAACTTAATAGGAATCAGTCAATTGATTAGAGAATATATGTGGGAAAATCACAACCTTTTTACACCATGTGTTTCCAAGATTTTGGGAACTAGAATAATTTTCAATTAAACTCACTAAAACCTCACAACTAGAGCTGGCTCCTCAAGGCTGTGTCCAGTTTAGTCCTGAATATCTCAAAGGATGGATTCCACACCCTCTCTGGGCAGCCCATTTGAGTGTTCAACCACCTCTAGAGTAAAAAAGGTTTTTCTTTTGCTTAAGTGGAATTTCCTGAATTTCAGTCTGTGCCCATTACCTCTTTTCTTGCCTCTGAAGGCCACTGAGAAGAGTCTGGCTTTGGTTTCTCTGTCCCCCTGTTAATCAGGTTGAGTCAATACTGATAAGATGATCCTTAGCCTGGTCTCTTCCAAGCTGAACTATCTCTTCCACCTTCTGCTCATGTCAGATTCTCCAAGATATTATCAATCTTTGGATCTCCAAGATACTATCCACCCTTCACTGGGCTCCCTCAGGTATGACCATGTCTGTCTTGCCCTGGGAGCCCAGCACTGAACCCAGGACTCCAGGGTGCATCTCAGCAGGGATTGAACAGAGCCGAAGGATCACCTCACTTCAGCATTTGCTGAAGATATTCTGCCAGGTGATTTTTGAAAGTCTGCCACAGATGTTAAATATCAACTCACATTTCTTCTTTTTTTTTTCATTTTCTTAATGGCTAGTGTTATGCAGATAGGCACAATTATTTTGCCAGGACGTCCCTGTTCTGGGGGAATTAACCCCCAGGAGATTACATGCTAAGAAGGCCCTTTTTATGAAAATAGATGTAGTAGAATTTTCTACCTGTTCCCACACAAATCATCATTTACGTTTTGCATTTTGGTAAAGCCATTAGCAGCAAACATGGGAGCAGGAACATGCTCCTTTTCTACTCCATTTGGAGGTGGGGAGCAGAGGAAGCTGGCATGCTGCATTTTGTTCAGCAGTGAGGTGTAAGGGACACGAAACACAAATGAAACGTGAGAAGAAAAGATTTTTTTTCACTGATTAAAGAAGAGGATTGTCCCTACACAAGTGGATTGCTGTCTCTGGCAGTGCTTGCTTTGATCCCTCTAAGCTTGTGTGGAATTAATTAGGTAAAACCCCCAGCATTTACCTTGGGCTGTGGTATCACCTGGAGGACACTTGGCATGAATTAGTGCTGGTTTATCAGAAGCCTGAGCTGCAAAATGATCTGTCCAGTGAGAGAGTCTGCCAAGTAATTCACAGGAGGTGGCAAGCAAAGCATTTTTGTAATTTTAATTAGGTTTGGGGTGGGAAAGAGGTTATCTTGAATAGAGCAAGAGGCAGAACGATGACCTTACTGAATATCTCATGTACTTCCTTTTATACTGCTGGGATATGAGGACACACTCTGCAAATTTGCTCAGATGTTTTCTTGCTATGTAGAGAATTTTAAAAGGGAGGGGGGTGTTTTGTTTTATTTGGGGTTTTTTTGTTTGTTGGTTTTTGTTTTTTTTTTTTTTTTTTTTTTTTTTTTTCTAATAAGATAACAGGAGATAAGATTTCTGTGGAAAAAGGCTTGGTTCAGGCATCAGAGAAAAGGTTGCTGTGATCTCTGAGTAGGGGTGGATGCACTGCTTGCAGAGGCTGGAAAAATGCCACCAGATGTCTCTGCAGCCTAAAAAATGTTGGGATGCTGCTGGGCACGCAGCACGCCTGCAGTCTGCCTTGCCTGCCCTTGCCCTTCAGTAAAGAGGAGGTTTAATGGAGGAAGAAAGGCGTGCAAACCCTGAATTAAACCCACACATGGCCCCTTCCTCCTCCGCCTCCCCAAACTCAAGGTTCACAACCCTCATCCGGGTCACCAGTGGCTTCTCAGCAAGTGAGGGAGCCAGATTAGGCCACAAAGTACCTTGTTCTTCTTGTTTGGGGGAAAAGCATGTTAGTACAGTTTCATGACACCAGTTTGCCTTACACAGAGCATGTCTAAGGCAAAATTCTGAGAGTCTTCTCTGCAGGGTCACCATCACTGTGCTTGCAACAGCAGCCAAGCGCCTTAAAAAGCTTTGGAGGCAGTAACCAGTCCTACCCCTCACTGTTCCCATGAAATAGGGAAGTTCAATCATTTACCCAAAATCTCGCTTGGAATAAGTGCATGGTCAGGCATGGGATGCATGGACTTAATTGAGCTCTCCCTTATAGGAGCAGTCCTGATTGCAATTGCATACAGAAAGATCAAAGTGTTTTCTCATTCCCAGATCTTAGCCACAAGAATCACACCACCATTTACCACCCAGGGCAGCAATTCTTTATGCTGCCAGTAAATGAAAGGAAAAGAAAAAAAAAAACAAAAATCCCTAAACAAACCCAAATTTTTGTGTGTAGCTCAGACCTCCTATCTGCAATTTAGGTCAATGGAAAGGGCAGTCAGGCAGGTTTATTTTATTGCTCTGTGTGCAGTTTTAAATTTCACTGAAGAAGGGGGTGGGAAGGGAAGGGAAGGGAGAGTGGCAAAAATTAGATCTGAGGGAGGTCAACTATATCCACTTAACTGCTATTGACCTAGTTGTAACCAGAGCTGAGCCCAGCCTGAGTATTGGAATTCCTCTGGCCACATCTCCGACAATATGCAAGGCCTGAAAATACCTAAATCCCTGTGGCACAGTGAAGTCCCTACAGCCTGAAAACCACCATAGATACTGCTTGTCTTGTAGCTGCTTGGGGTGGAGTGTAATAAGAAAGAGAAGATGGGGTAAATTGACTGGGGGATTAAGGGGAAGATTCTTCCCTCTTTCTGGGTAAAGTGTGGAAAGCCCCAGGAAATTACTGCTCTGTGTTTCAGTTGATGCACTGAAAACCCCAAAACCTTTCTGAGAAAGAATCTTTACAATTAAGGAAATTTTGTGCTTTAGTCTCATTCCTCAGTTCCTGAAAAGTTCCCCAATTTGAAACCATTTTAGGCTGCAAATACAACAATGCTGAAGGGAGCATCAAACCCATACTTCTCTCCAGACTCTTGAGTGTGCTTTTCTCCTGCAAACACATGAAAGAGAAACCAGATACTCCTAACCTCAGTATGAGAAAGTTGTGTTAATTTTAATAACTTACAGTGTAACTGTTATACCCCAATGCAGTAGCTATGCTAATAGAAAGTAAGCACCAACATATGACCCAAAAATGTGTCTATTAAAATAAAATAATAATAATAAAAAGCCTTGGCTTACATTAGTTATACATTTGGCTGAAATGCTGAGCCTTGGACTTATGAGTTGGCTCTCACTCTGCTGGTCCACAGAAAGATTGAATTCATTACTTGTGAAACCTTTATGGAGGGCATGCTGCCTCAAATCCCAGGGAGCAACTTCGATGAATAAGAATGGACACAGGCTAATTCAAACCCTTCTTCCATCTTTCAAATCAACTTAGTGATTTCTCTCTTCTTTGTGGTTCCCAGCCAATTGTCATTTTCAGTGCATCCTATCGCCCTGCAGTACGAACTGTTCTGGGAATACACTTCATTCCTCCAGCAGCCTCTCGGCAATGCCAAGAATGTAGCTCTTCTGGTTACAATTAAGAAATTCAACATACAAATGCTCCCCAAGTGCACCAGAACCTGCTTGTGACCTTCACACAACTGAATCTGAAGGAGTCAAAGCAATTTTTTGTTCCAGTTCTTTGGTTCCAGTCATGAGAGGAAGGGAGGAAAGGAAGGGGGGAAACCTCCATTCCTCCAGAGAGGCAGCATGGTTTCAGGGGTCAGCTGCATAGAAACTGGCACAGGAAGGTTCAGTTTCCAGGGCTGCATTCCCACAGAGAACTCTGGGCTGTGGAGCTGCTGGGAGGATGCCAGCCTGTGCTTGGCAGAGCCCTCGTGCAGTGGCACACTTGCTGGGTTATCAGGTTTAATTGTCACCACTGCATGGCAGAAGGTGTGCTGGCAGGGCAAGCACAGGCAGCAGTGGAGCCCCCCTGTCTGCTGCCATGCTCTCCTGTGCACCTCTGGTCCCCAGGCCACAGCTAAGCACCTGGGTAGGGCTGCCTCTTGCTGCCTCTCCTCCATCCCCATGGACTGTCTCTCTCAGTGTGAGCTCTCCTGGGGCCTCTGCATAAGCCTGCTGAGAGCAGATTCTACCCCTGCCTTCTGTCATGTTGCTGTCCAGGTGAGGCAGCTTAAGCAGTTGTTACAGAATAGTTCTGTAATTCTTATTTATATAGTCCATTTAAGCAGAACCCCATATACTTTTGGCTTGCAAGCATGAACATATTAAATGGATTTGTAGTTGTGCTCCCCCCGCCTCTCTCTCTTCAGCCTCTGCATTTTCAGCCATAAGCCGGCTTTAAAATTTTCTTTACCCTAAAACTGGGGATGACACTGTTGCCCAAGAAGAAAGATATATTTGTGTTTTCCAGATGGCTGGAGATAGTGAAAGAATAGCATGGGAAGTCCTTGATGTGGAATCTCATTTTCCAAGAGAAGCTGGGGGGTCTTTGGAGCTCTCCAATGACACCTCCTTTTCACTGAGGATCAAAAATGCAACAGGCGGAAACAGCGGGACGTACAAGTGCGCTCTGGGGGAGCAGAACGGAGAACACAATCTGAGCAGCACAGTCACAATAAAAGTAACAGGTACAGTGCAGCGCTTTGACTGCCCCATGCTCTGTGTGGCATGTCAGGAAGGTAACAATTTTAAAATATTTTACAAACACCAGAGCAATGTAACACTGTGCTTTATATTTTAGGCTGCCCTGGAATAGAAGAGGACAAACTAAAAAAATACAAAAGCGAGCTCTTCATGCTGACTTGCCTTGGGATTTTTTACTTGCTGCTCATCTTCTTTACTTGTGTAAGTAATTCTTTTTCTCGTAAGCAAGCAAAAATACCAACCAAAACACCCCCACTCATTTTCTCTGCTAGCACTGCTTTAACACAGCTGGTCTGAAGTTGGTGTCCATACTTAATTTATTACTAAACTCAGGTACATGAGGAGAGAGTTCCAAAGAGAGCAAACTGCGCCCTGATCTAGCTCTAACTCAAACTATCAGTTATTTTCCTGCACTCTCACTGCTCATTTCTGCTTCCAGTTACTCTGTGTAAGCTACTTATCAGTTTAAGGGCATGGCAACAGGTCTTCTGGTTTAGTACCTGGGAACAGCATTTGTCCAAGATGGAGGCACAGACCCCTAGGAACCCTTCCCACCTGTGGAATTACTTAGTGTGGTGGCATTATGGACATGTCCAAATCCACCTGCTTTTTGCCTCAGTTTCCACACTGGTAAATTGGTGTCAACCCCATTTCAGATGAGCATTTTTGTGAAGTCACGTCTTTCTTGTTGAACAGACATTTTAAAATACATGGAGAAAAATCTCATTGGAGAGTTTATCCATATCTTTACTGCTGGATGGTAGTTCTGGGAAAGGAAGGGAGAGGAGGCACTTGGGAAGTTCATTCCACAGAAGAAAAACTATGCTTTGTGTGCAGTGGCAGTGAAGTCACCTTTCTCAGAGGTAGCAAGAATCTTGGGTACCAGTACAGTGCATCACTGGCTCCATTTGTAATAAAAACAAAACCAGAACCAGCCTCAGCATTTTGGGAGGTCAGATTTAACTTTTGCTGCCTGTTTCATATTTTCCTTCTTGTTTTGCTCCTCAGCAGATGAATCATAACTGTTGATCAGAGTGTATCTAATTAGCTGTGCTAAATGTAGCTTTCCATGTATCTTCAGGGAGCAATTAAATTTATGCCTCTCTTTTTTAGATTGACAGTTCTGCCAGTAATTTGTGCCATTCAGACTAAAATTTGACGAGATAAATCTTGTAGGAATTTGTTAAGCTGGAAGTATGAAGGCAAGGATATCACTCAGAAGAGACAGATGCTGCACGTTCTTCTCAGTGTCCTGAAAGAACTTCAGATCTCTACAGAAATCTCTCCTCCCTTACAAAAAAAGTCCCAGTTTTAGTGGTACAGTTATAAAAAGCAGAGCTGTGTAGTGAAGATAATCGCTCTGGTGGAATTATGTGTATCTTATTTTTGGATGAGGCCCTGTTTCAGGTATCAACTTAGCTTTCATCAAAATTTAATACTGACCTGATCTCACAAGTGAGGTTCATTATTTAAAATGCCTGTTAAGTTCTTACAGGTTGCCTCGTCCTCTTCTTTAGTGAAGATTGTGCTTTATCTCCGCTAAACTCAATAGCAACATTCACTTTAGAACTGGTTGGCAGGACTGTGGCTTTACTTTGACAACTTGATGAAAATATTTCAGGGATTGGCTTGCATTAAAGGCAGGTAGAAGTGCACTTGCAATAGCTTGATGCAAGGCCTGTTGAGATGAAAATGTGAATCAAATATAAATTTTATTTTTTCACTGAGGCTTTTGTCCTATAAAGTTAATTGATTTAGCAAGAAACAGCAGCTTTTATTGGTACGGGGTGCCTCCAGTGACAAACAAATGGAAAAGGTGTAATGAGCTATAGTTAGCAAAGAGAAAAAGGAAAACCTCCAAAAGTTTTTTTTAATTGTCTTTCATAGGAATTATCAGTTTTAAGCTTTCCTTTGTGTTTTCTCTTTTAGACATGTCTAAGAAAAGAGAGTATGTCTCCCAATTACCAAAAAAACAGACCAGATATGAAGCACATGCTCACCCTCATCAATGTACATGAAATAACAACTTTCCAGCATTTAAACAGTGACAGCACTTGCAAAAATGAGCTTACTTCAAGTTCTGTCTAAGTTGACGTTGATGGCACTGCGGACTCATCAGTAAACAGAAGCTGGGTGGTTCAGTGGTATGAAGAGGGAATAAATGATAATATATGGTCTCTTCAGAACAGCCTGGAAGTACAGGTACCTTGTCAGTGATCTGCTTGTGCTGGACAAGCCTTTGACAAGCACTGTTATGCACAATGGTAACTTTTGAGAGTTAGTTAGCTAAGAAATACCTTTACAGCTACACGTCATGTTACAATGCTGCTATGAGGTTGTTATCAACTTTATTTCACTCTGCTGTGAAGCCCTCCTTTTGTGAGCAAGAATATGCTTCTAAGATGAAGACTGAGTTATAGGGAGGCCATGGCGGTGCAAAGCCAGCAGATGAAGCTCTTCACTGGACTGATATCTCCCACCCTTCCAAAGCAAACACAGCAGGTGCTGTGGTATGAAATGATAAGTGTGCAGGGCTGTCTCTGCTCTGAGCCTGATCCTGGATGGAGTTCCTTTATTGCAAATGAAATGTAATCCATCATGTAATTTTCAAGTAGACTGAAGAGGTGACTTCATGCTCTTGCACTGGATGGATCAAAGCGACATTCACTCTTAAATCTTAGAGTGACAGACAGGCTGAGAAGGAAAATCTTCTCAAAATCTTTCTGGACTGAATGAACTTTTTATATCAGCAGGAAAAATAGGGACATATTTTCCAGGTTAATCTATAGGAAGCTTCAATGAGACTGTTAATCTCAAATAAGAATGAAGAAGACTGTGCTATTACGGACATGTAAAGATGACTTAGTGTGTGCTTTACAAAATGTGGAGCCAAACATATACAACACTTATGTCAGTCAAGCTACATGAGTGATGACCAAATCCATGGCTTGGAAGAAATCAACCAACCGTGTCTTTGTGATGTACTAAGTTAGCTATGAGATACAGGAATGGAAGATGGGACATATGGGCTTCTGGTGTTGGCAGTGTATGTATGTGAAAAAGGACATGAGAAAAGCTGAACTCAGGCACACCATAAAGGGGAGAGAAGATTTGCCCTTTTGGACCAAAGCAAGTGATCCTAGGCTCTGAATCCAAGGAACCTTCCTCTATGGGATTACTTGTGCAGAAGGTGAAGGAAGGGACTGTGGTTGCTTATGCCATAATATCAGAATTTTAGCCCAAACATCAGAACTTGCATACCCTAAAGTGCACAGTCTTAAAAAAAAACTTCAAGAACTGACCAGCAACCTTAGAATTTTTCATTCAGTTTGGAATTCCAGGCTGTTGACAAAAAGACCTTTCCATAATCCTTCAACTAATTTTGAAGTGTTGATGGGAAGAAAGCTGTACATCACTCAGCACTGGCTCTGTGAGCAGGGTAGATGTCTGCATTGCTGGAGTCCAAGAGGCTCCTGACCAGAATGACTTCTAGTTACAAGGGATATGCAAATTACTTAGAACATAGTAAAGTAATGCCACATTGCTTTTTATTTTTTCTGTAATTTTTACATTTAAATGTGTGTAGGATACTTGAAATAAAAATTCAGAGATATCCTACCATTTGGTTTTGTGTGCTACATTTGGCAAATAAACCCAGGATCAATTGCATTTTATTTTACAACTAGCATAATTGCATCAAATAAGGTAGAGATGTGATTCAGCCTCTTCTGCAGGAAAAAAGCATGTATGTGTGTATAACTGATTAAGTAATGGATAATTTTATGCACTTCTAAGGACCTAGCACCATTTAAATTTTCATCAAAATTTTTCTTTCTGTCCGAAGTACATTATAAAACACTTGTTCCATACCAAAGGCAAGTCATTAGGAAAAACACAAGGGTGTTTCAGTCTGCCCACAGTTACTTTTAAGCATGGCCCACCATCCTGGGTGACCTGTAGGTTTAGGAGGCAAAAATATGAACTGAAGGCTTGTGTGTTTCTCCATTTGGTCAGAAAGGCTTAATCTCCAACAGTCATAGTTTGTTGAGGTTTATTATCATAGAATGCTAAGAGGTTGGAATGGCTCCTAAAGATCATCTAGTCCTAAGTCTCCCTGCCATGGGCAGGGACACCTACTACACCAGGTTGCCCAAGGCCTTATGTAGCCTAGCTTTGAATACTGCCAGGGATAGGGCATCTACAACCTCCCTGGGCAACCTGTTCCAGGGCCTCACCACCCTCACAGAAAAATATTTTTTCCTAATCTCTAGCCTAAATTTCCCCTCTTTCAATTTGTATCCATCAGTCCTGTCTTATCACTACAGCTCCTGATAAAGAGTGCCTCTCTGGCTTCTCTGAAGGCCCCCTTCAGATACTGGAGGGTTTCTATGAGGTGTCCACAAAACCTTCTCTTTTCCAGGCTGAATACCCCTAATTTTCTTAGCCTGTCTTTGTAGGGGAGGAGCTCCAGTCCTCTTGTCAACTTTGTGGCCCTCCTCTGAACTTAGTCCAGCAGTTCCATGTCCTTCTTGGGACCCTATAGCTGGATCCAGGTGGGGTCCTCACCAGGGCAGAGCAGAGAGCCAGAATCCCCTCCCTCACCCTGCTGGCCACTCTCCTTTTGATGCAGCCCAGGATTCCACTGGGTTTCTGGGATGTGAGCACACACTGCGCTCATGTGAGGTTTTTGTAAAGTATCACCCTCAAGTCTTTCTCTGCAGGGCTGCTTTCAATTGCTTCTCTGCCCATCCTATGGGTGTGTCTGAGATTGCCACGATTTGGGTGCAGGGCCTTGCACTTCGATTTGCTGAACTTTATGAGGTTTGCATAGGCCCACCTCTCAAGCCTGTCCACATCCTTCTGGATGGCATCACTCCCCTCCAGCATGTCTAACACACTTGGTGTTGTCAGCAAACTTTCTGACAGTTCATGCTCTATTCCACTGGTCATATCACCAACAAAAATGTTGAACATCATTGGCCGAGTACTGACCCCTGAGGGACACCACTCATCACTGGACAATGAACAGTTGGCCACAACTCTTTGTGTGTGGCCATCCAGACAGTTTTTTATCCACTGAGTGTCCATCCATCAAATCCACAACTCTCCAATTTGAGATCAGGATGTTGTGCGGGACAGAGTCAAACACTCTGCCTAAGTCGAGGTAAGCAATGTCAGTTGCTCTGCCCCTGTCCACCAACACTGTAGCCCCATCACAGAAGATCACCATATTTGTCAGGCACAATTTCCCCTTTGTAAAGCCATGTTGGCTGTTATCAATCACCTCTGTTTTCCATGTGCCTTAGCATATTTTCCAGAAGAATCTGCTCCATGATCTTGCCTGGCACAGAAGTAAGACTGACTTGTCTGTAGTTCCCTCGGTCTTCTGCTTTCCCTTTTGTATTGGTTTTACATGGCCTGGTTTTTGGTAGCGGGGGGAGGAGCACAAAGATGGCTCCTGTGGGAAGCTGCTGGAAGCTTCCACCATGTCCAGCAGAGCCAATCTGTGATGACTCTGAAGACGGATGTGCTTGTGGCCTAAATTGGGCCAATAAGAGAGGTTGGTAATGCCTCTGTGATGACATTTAAGAAGAAAATCAAAACAAAGTGATAGGTTTTGCTTCTAGTCAGAGAAAAATATATGAGGGAAACAACATGGAGACACCAAGGTCAGTGGAGAAAGAGTGGAGGAGGTGCTCCAGACGCCAGAGCCAAGATTCCTCTGCAGTCTGTAGTGAGACCATGGTGAAGCAGCTGAGCCCCTGCAGCCCATGGGCATCCACAGGGGATGCAGAGATCCACCCACAACCTGTCAGGGAGGTGCCCATGCTGGAGTGGGTGGATGCCTGGAGGAGGCTGTGATCCAGTGGGAGACCCAGTGGAGAGTGGGGGTCCCTGCTTCCCGGCCATGCAGCCTGTCCTTGGAGGACTGCACCCCATGGAAAGAGAGACACGCATTGCAGCAGTTTTGGCAGGGCTGCTGCTCATGAGAGTGGATCCACGGTGGAGAAGTTCATGGAGAACTGTACCCACAGTCTCACAGGGGAAGGACTCCTCTTCCAGAGCAGTGGAAGGAGAAAATCTCAGTGTTGAACTGACCAAAACCCCAATGTGCTGTTGGTGAGAAGGAGGGAGGGGCTGGCAGGGAGTTTTACAGGCTTATTTTGTTTCTCATTATCCTCCTCTGATTCTGTTTATAATAAAATTCACTTTGCAATTTAAGCTGAGCCAGTTTTGCCCTTGAAGTGTTTCTCCTGGTTCTTATCTCACTCATGAAGCATTTGTTAGCTTTTCCCCTCTCCGCTGCCTAGCTGTAACAGAGGAGGGTGAGCGAGTGACTCTCATGGGTGCCTGGTGTTGGGCCTGTGTCAAACTCTGACATATTTTTTAAAAATGGGGGGTATATTTCTTCTTCCAGTCATTAAGAGCTTTACCTGACTGCCACAATTTCTCAAAAATGGTAGATTAGGAACTTTGCTAGTTCCCTCAGGACCTGCAGATGATTATTGTTGACTCCCATGGACTTGTGCATATTCAAGTTCCTTAGATGGCCTCAAACCTGAGAGGGCTCAGGGTCTTCACTTTCCCAGTCCCTGTGTCTTTCTTGTTTGGGTGGTGTGGCTGGGACACTTGCTGTTGAAGAATGAGGCACAGAAGTCATTGAGAACCTCAGTCTTCCCTTTGTCCAGTGTAGCCAGATCTCTTGTTTCCTTCAGGAGAGGGCTCACATTGTCCCTGTTTTTCTTTTTCTTGCAATATATCTATAGAAGCCCTTTCTGTTATCTTTGATATGCCTGGCCAAATTAAATTCTAACTGGGCCTTGGTTTCCCAAGCCTTGTCCCTAGCTTGCCATACAATTTCCCTGTATTCCTCCCAGATCGCCCGTCCTTGTTTCCCCTTCCTGAAAGCTTTGTTTTTCTCTCTGAGCTTGCTCAGCAGCTTCTTATCCATCCATGAATGCCTCTTGTAATTTTTCCTGATTTCCCTCTTGCTGGAATCCATTGATCCTGAGCTTGGAGGAAGTGATCCTTGAAATTCAGCCAGCATCCTTGGGCCCCTCTGCTTTCCAGGACTCTATGGAGTAGGTCCTTCAAGAGGCCAAAGCTTTGCACTCCTGATGTCTGGGGCAGTGATTTTGCTGTGCCCTGAGGATCTTTATCTCCACCATCTTATTGTCACTTACAGTGCCTTGGAGCACTGCATTTCTCACCAGCTCCTCCTTGTTGGTGGGCACTGGGTCCAGCATGGCACCTCTCCTTGTTGACTCCTCAGTCACTTGTGTAAGGAAGTTGCTTTTACACATTTGAGGAACCGCTGGGATTTCTTTTGCCCTGCCATGTTTTCCCTCCGACAGACATTGAGGAGGTTGAAATGCCCCACAAGGACCAGGGATTAAGAGTGTACAGGCATCCATCTGCCTACAGAGAGCTTCATCCACACCAATCTCCTGATTGGGTGGCCTGTAGCAGACTCCCACTATAACATCCCCTGTCCCTGCTGTCCCCCTTAATCTTCACCCACCAGCCCTCAGTGGACTCCTCATCCTTTTCCAGGCATTGACAGGGAAAGGATGGTCATTGACAGCAGGGCTACATTCCCTTCTCTTCTCCGTAGCCTGTGCCTCCTAAAAAACCTGAAACCTTCCATTCCAAGGCTCTAGTCACAGGAGCCATCCTACCATATCCCTGTGATGCTGATGTTGTCATCCCCAAGCAGGTGTGTGCACATCTTTAGTTCTTCTATTTGTTCCCCATACTCGATGTGTTTGTGTAGAGGCATTTGAGCTAGGACCCAGATAAAGACCCCAGCTTGCTGGCTGGAGTATCTGGGATGTCTCTGCATTATCTTTTTATATTTTTAAAATATCTTTGAATCATGTTTTTAGGAGCCCAGAGAAGAGGAAGGATGGGGAAATTCACTTGAAAAAAGTTGATAATTAGTCAGCAGCAAAGGCTGAAATGCTTTTAAAGTTATTTCCTCAGAAGGATAAATAGGATCAGATCAGATAGAACAGAATGAAAAAAAAAAAAAATGGGACTTTTTGCAAAGAACGATGCCCATTATTTTTTTCCTGAGCCAAACTGTCTGCAGTACAGAAGACTGGGCCTGAGGCATCAACACTGTGAGTCAAATCTCAGGCTTAGAAGTTTTAGGCTGGTTGATTCTGGGGATTTGCTGTAGGCCCAGCTGTGCAATAGAAGTGATCATGTTCAGGGCCACTTAAACGTGTTAAATTGTTTAGAAGAAGTAAAGCAGAGAGAAAGTCTTATGCCAAGATGCTTCACTGAATCACGAAACT